TGTCTCTCAGTTGCTTCATCTTTTGCCAAATGCCTTCCCATTCTGCCTGCTTTACTCTCCAGTGCGAGAGAACTCATCACACACCCACAATGGGTGGATACTCAGCAGCTTGGGAACTTTGTGTATGTGTGTGAATGAGAGAGAGAGAGAAAGAGAATGAGCCAGTGATGGGGAGGGGGAGATATACAGACATAACAAACCAGAAAGAGAGAGAGAGAGAGAACGAGCCAGTGAGAGAGATGGCTGGCTGGCTGACCAGTCCAGTCCAGCCAAGCAAGCATGCAGGTGAGAAAGGAAGGTGGCAGCAGCAGTGGCACCCATCTGGGACTGCATTCCTTCTAGGGAAGGGGAGCGGTGCATGCCCACCTTTGCTTGCTGCTGCCCTCACCGCTACCACCTCCCTTTTCCACTGGCCAGCAGCCTAGTCAAACCCAAAAGGAGGCACCTAGGATGTGCATGCCCCTGCCAGACAGTTTGGCCAAGCCAGAGGAGAGCAGCAGGGCAGTCAGGACAGGGAAGACAAAGGGCAAGCACCCCCTCCCTGCCTGCTGTTATTTCTCCTGCCATTGCCCCTCCCCTTCTGCTCTACAACAGTGCTGATGGCTTGCTCATCCCTTCCTGCTTTTGCAGAGATGCCCCAGCAGTGCAGGTGGGTGGGTGGCAGGTTTGCACCTCTCTGCTGCTCCAGAGCCTAGGACCAGGAGCAATGGATGCAAACTACAGGAAAACAGGTTCCATGTCAACATTAGGAAGAACTTCCTGACAGTAAAGAGCTGTTCAACAGTGGAATACACTGGCTCAGAGTGTGGTAGATATGATGATAATGATGTATTTATACCCCGCTCTTCAGCGTTAATTAGACATTTCCCTGCCCTCAGGCTTACAATCTAGACCAGCATTAATTCTGAAAACAACCAATTCCACCCCACCCCCCATGGCTGCCATTTAAAAAAAATGCCTATTCAACAAAATGAGAGATTGGTTACTTACCATGATGAATCATTCAGGTAGAGCAATCCACTTTACAGGTGGGGAAAAGTCCTGCCACAAGAGCTGGCACGAGTACTAGTACCCATCTGTAAAGTTGATTGCTCCTCTGCACCATCCATAGAGAGAGATGCATTTCCTTCAATTCATACAGCAGTTACAAAACCAACTTCTTTTAAAGTGTAACTAGAACATACGTAAAGCAAGAACCTTTTTCTAAAAAACAAAAAAAAATATAAAATATAAAATAATCTAAGTATAAAAATATAAAATAATATATTAAAATATAAAATAAAATAATATATAATATAATATAATAAAAAGATATGTGCTTTACCAAAAAAAATTCTGGAGAATACCTAATCAAATAGAAAAATATTACAAGTGAAAATACCAGTGAATCCAGATTTGAATGTATTGAACATGACTAACACAAAAGATTCTAAAATTGAGAAGAAACATCGGAAACTACTTCTTTACATGGTAACAGCAGCCAGGATGTTTTACACACTATAATGGGGGGAGAAAGGAGATACCAACAATAGTGAACAAAATTTAGTTAACAAAATTTAAAGAGATTATGGATTTAGGCACAGTGCTCTAATAAAAGATAGCTCAATAAAACTGCTTATAGATAACTGAATAGTAAATATCCAGAAGACAAGAAGGCAGCATAACATACAACAGTATAACATTAAATACATTAGGTACATTAACAACAGAAAAGTACAGTATCATCCAAAATCCACAAAACAGTGATACCTTTATTGGGCCAATCAAAATGCACATTATACACGCTGCAAACTCTTGAAGCTCCACTGGCTTCTTCATCAGGCAAAGATATTAAAAATCATATAGGAGTTTTTTAAACATATTTGCCTGATGAAGAAGCTTGTGGAACCTCAAAAGTTTGCAATATGATGGTGCAATAAAGGTATCACTGTTTTGTGGATTTTAGATGACACTAAACTGCGCTATATGGCCAACACAGCTACCTGAAGTTGCAGTTGTAGTTAAAGAGAAACTGGATAAACTGAATAATTTGTAAGTTCCACAAAAACTGGTAGGAAGTTGAATATATATATATATATATATATATATATATATATATATATAAAATAAAACACAAAACAGATGTTATAAATGAGAGATATATTTTATTTGAAGCAATTTTAATAATTTATGATACTACACTTATGGTATTTTATGTACATATGGATTATGTATATCTGACCTATTGATACATGATTTATGACTAAAGTTTGGACATGTGATATTAATGTCAGAAGTAATAAATGGAGTTGGTACTTCATAACTTTAATTAAAATATTTTTAAAAAATTAAATTAAATTTAAAAAACAGATAGATCTTGACTGACTTGTACGACAGGGTTAGAGTAAATTTGGTAGCTGAAATTGCTACCACCGAGAAGGCAGAGAACAAGGGTGCAACACAATATTGTTGAATAAGACAAAAAATCCTGCATTTTTTCCTCCAGAAGTGTGTGGGGGGGGGAACAGGACTGGAATTGCTCTCTGGTTCTGTTTTAGGTTGTTCCCTGAATCACAGATTTTATTTGATCCATTCAATGTGGATGCTACAAATACAGTAGTTGATATTTAGATAAAAATGCTGAGAACAGGGTGACCAGACTTTCTTTTCCGAGACAAGTCCTATATTTCAAACTTCTGTCTGGCAGTCTGAGAAGAATTCCAAAATGTCCTCCAGTTTGAGGATTACAGGAAACTCATTAAGATCACCCTTCAAAAATGTGTCTATTTGGTACCCTGTCTTTGCTGCAAATAGAGGTAATAGGATGGATCCTTCTAAAAAAAATTTCCTAGAAGCAGCAGCAAATAAAATGTGCCCCCAGAGCTTAGTGTGTTTATGTTTCTCGGAGGGGAAAAGGACAGCAAATGTGTGAGGCAATGGGCTGCTGAGGCAGAATAATCCCTTTACAGCTACTTTTCAAGTATCCTCCCATATGCAGTGGCTGCCAAAGAAGACCTCAAGAAACCCAATGAGTAACACCATGTTTGCTGTTCCCCTTCTGAGAAAGGTGTCTAGTCGGCCCTCCACTTTTGCTTGTATCTCTCCCAAGTCACCTAACACCATTTCCCTCCATTCTGAAACCTTCTCCCACCCCACCCCCAAGTTGCCCTATCCCACTCCAAACCTCTCCCAGCCACTTAACACCACTTCTCTCCACTTTACTCCATTCTGGATCTGATGTTAGAACCTTCTCCCCACATCTTCCTTCTGCCTCTCTGGACCTCTCTTGGCCACCTAACACCTCTTCCCTCCACTTTACTCTATTCTGAATCTGCTGTTAAAACTTTCTTCCCTCATTGTTCTTCTCCCTCTCTGGACCTCTCCCAGCCAGCTAATATCACTTTCCTTCACTTCCCCACATTCTAAATCTGATATTAAAACAGCGGGGAGAAGGGTTTAGCATCAGATTCAGAATGAAGCAAAGTGGAGGGAAGTGGTGTCAGGTGGCTGGGAGAAGTCTGGAGAGGAGAATGATGATGGGGTAGGGGGGAAAGGTTTTAACATTGGATAATGCCAACAAGGCATTTTAACAAAGGTAAATTCAGCAGAGTTTGGTATATAATAAAATACAGAATGTGTAACAGAGCTGTAAATAAACTGTACAAACGAATTTATATTATATTTGTGTATTAGTGGTTTTTAGCTTTTATTTAGTAATGTCCTATATTTTTCTTGAATGTCCGACAATTTGCGGTGCCTAGTCCTCCTTTGCTGTTATGACATCTGGTTACCCTGTCTGAGTCACCAAATACAGCGGAGAAATAGAACTACCTCAGAGGCTTTGAAGGGAAACACAACCAGAAGTGACACACAACAACAAAGATTGCTTCAGGTGGAATAGGAAGAGGTGGAATTGTTAAAGCTTTCTCAACAGGTTAACAATATAACCAAGGACCTACCAAGGATCTCAATCAATCAAGTCCTTCCTTTCTGAAAACGATCCTTATTTAATGGTCACTGCTGAATTCCTGGAAAAGCTGGATACAGGATTTGAGACAACATTGTCCCCCCAAGACATGAACCTATTTCACCCCAATAAAAGGGAAGAAAGCCGGTGTGGTGTAGTGGTTTGCACAGTCTAGGACTCTGGAAGACCAGGGTTCAAATCCTGGCTCAGCCATGTAAACCCACTCGGTGATCTTGGGCAAGTCACACACTCTCAACCTCAGAAGATGGCCATGGCAAAACCCTCTCTGAAGGAACTTGCCTTTCAAGCCACATGATAGGGTTGGAAATGAATTGATGGCACACAACAACAATGGTAAAAGAGAAACATCCACCAAGGAGTAAACTTCAGATAAGAAAAAAGTTGGAAATTTTATGTATTGCATTCTCTTTTCCTTGCTTCAATAGACAGGGACTTCCCTCTATCTATCTCATTCTATCTAAACATGTGACTCCTGTCACTCAAACTTGGAGGCTAGTTAACAGACTCTCTCTCAAGATTCTAAACAGTCTCCCCTCAGTACAGTATATGTCTCCTCTAAGTCTCTGATGGAATAACACTCTCCTCTATGATGTTAACAGTCTTTTCCTGCTATATATTAATGATGGTGAGATTTCATCTCTTTACCCAAACCATCACCAGTTAGGATAGCATTTAGTCCGTTATGTACCATATTTATTTATTAAAGTCATTATTATTTGTTTTTTGAACTACAAACTATATGTTTGTCATTTTTTTATTAAGTCTTGTCATTTTTTGATTAAGGAGACTGCACACCCATCATCGATGAGTGGTAGAGGAGAATGATCCTTCATTTTTCATGGAAGGTTGAACTGGGAACAGCCAGAGTAACAACATTATGCAGGGGGTTACACCGACTGAAGGGATCTGAGGATGCCTCCAAGGCCAAAATTCTTAGAAGAAAATTCTCATCACCCACACAAGTGGCTCTGCTACTGGATACAGCAGAGTCCTCCCCAGCTTATAGTCTTCCCAGCCATCTCAAAACACCTTTCTCAATGTCAACTGAAAGCGCTGGACTACAGTCCATTCTCTCCACACTCTCCTTCTCTGGAATTCTCAACCAGGTCAACTGAATACAATTTGAATCTAGGCCAAGAAAAGGATAAGCTGGAGCTGAAAACTGAGAAGGGTTCTCTCCCACTCAAGGATATAGATGATACTAATTTGAACTGACCATTTGCGTTGCAGAATGGGAAGAACTAATCCAGCTAGTTGTATCTTCCACTACAGCAGGAAGACAGCACTAGACAATGAACAAAACCTATTGTAAAGGATCTGACTGAGACAGAAAAATCTGTGAAAGCCATTTCAGAGGCAACTGATAACATGACTAGATAGGATGGGGAAAAAAAAAGGATTTTGGACAAATGATCTTCTATTGTCACAAGGCGCAGATGTAAAAAAACAAGACTTTGGGCCAATGCAGACCAGCACAAAGGGCCGGCCTGAGGGTGGAACTGGGGCAGGGCAGCCGCATGCCAGCTGCCCCAATGCTGTCCTGATGCCACATGCCCATCTGTATGGCACGGGGCATCAGGACACCCTGCTGGTGCAGCATGCACAGATGTTGCGCCAAAAGCTGCAAAAGAGCCGTGGCGCCAGCTCTAAGGGCAGCCTTTTGCCACTCCAAAAAGTAGTGGCATTTTGCTGCTCTATTTGGGGTGGCAAAAATGAGGATCGGGGCTGTGGCATGCCCTGTCTGCGTCGGCCCTGTAAATCAATGGGAGGAAAATATGCCATTCCACTAAAATTTGTGTGTTGGCTAGGGGAAAGAAAAAGCCCTATGTAAGTTATGTTATCCCCTAAAAATACAGGAATAATCATGGCAGAGCAAACCAAAGTCTCTTCCTACAACAATCAACATGATGGCTACAGGAAGCTGGGACTGTTAAGATTACAGCTGGCCCTCCACATTTGCGGCTTTGACTTTTGCAGATTTGATCATTTGCAGTTTTGATTAGTATGTTTTCTCCAGGAATCTCTAAGTCCTCCAGTGCAACTGTACCAGAAGCTGACCACAGAGTTATGCTGGAGAACCTAGACATTCCTAGAGAAAACAATTCTCTAGCCATCTGTAGGTCCTCCAGTATGATTCTATTATCAACATCTGGCAATGTTGACAACAGAGTTGCACTGGAGGATCTGAAGAATCCTAGAGAAGACTTTCTCTCAGGTAAAAAGAATAGTGGTTTTTTGTTTGTGGTTTTTCCACATTCAAAGGGGTCCTTCAACCCCTAACCCCAGCAAACGTGGTGGGACAACTGTATAAGAAATCCAACACGAATTGGGTCAATTATTCACTGACTACGGGACACAGATGCCTTCCATACTAATAACACAAGTAACAGTTACACTCGTCCCTCCACATTTGCGGCTTTGACTTTTGCGGATTTGATTATTCACAAATTGTATTAATATGTTCTCTCTAAGAATAGGTCCTCCAGCACAACTCTCTGATCAACTTTAACCAAAAGTCACACTGAAGGACCTAGAGATCCTAGAGAGAACACTCCACTAGGCATTTGTAGCTCCTCCAGCGCAATTCTATGGCCAATGTCTGGCAGATGTTGATCACAGAGTTGCCCTTGAGGTGTCACAGTGGTTAAATGCCTGTACTGCAGCCATTCACTCATAAACCACAAGGTTGCAAATTCAATACTAGCCAGGGTTCAGGCTTGACTCAGGCCAGCATCCTTCCGAGGTTGCTAAAATGAGTACCCAGCAGCTGGGAGGCAAAGAGCATACAGTTGCAAACCGCTTAGACACTGCATAGCACGGTATGAAGTGGTATATAAATGAAGCTGCTTTTTGCTTAAAAATATAGTGTTTTTGTTGTTTGTGGTTTTTCCACATTCACAAGGGTCCTGTGCCCTAACCCCAGCAAATGTGGAGGGACAAGTGTACTAAATCAACTCACGGGTCGGCCAGCATCATTGGTAGTGCCGTTTCTTGTATCTTGGATGGTCTGTTGAAGCCCATGGCATAAATACCTTGAAGCAGTTCAGACTTTCTGTTAAAATAAGAAAAGCTTACATTTTCACAGGCAAGTAACTCAGGGGATACTGAATGAAATTTAAAGATTCTGTTTCTTTGAAAGTTAATTTTTCCTGACCTCCAGGAATTATGAAGGCAAACTTTGAGAAAAGTAGAATTTAAAAATATAGCCATGTCTGTAGAATTTATATGTATAGAGATTTTGTAGCACCTTTGAGATTAAGGGGCTATACAGACAGCCAAAAATAATCCAGTTTGAGGCCAGTTTAACTGTCCTGGCTCTGTGCTAGGGAATCATAGAATTATAGAGTTGAAAGAGATCACAAGAGTCCAACTCCCTGCCATGCAGGAACTCAAAATCAAACCATCCCCAAC